TATATGGTTTTCTAGAAAACCCAACGTAATTCAAAGAAACTGATAGTAAATTTATTATCACCAGAATAAATATTATAAACACCAACTTTATGAATAGCTTTGTGAGTTTTGTAATTTGTTATACGAAGTATTTAGAGTCCAAGCATCCTATATATATATATATATAATGTATATATATGCATATTCATAGTAATGGTACAATATTTTACAAATGTGTTCAGCTACCTGCTTACGCCAACGACATTGACATCATTGGGCGTAACAAAATGAGCTAGCTGCCTATGCTGCTATTGGAATAGAATCTGCAAGAATAAGCTTAGAGGTGCATGAGGTCAAAACGAAGTTTTTGTCGGCTTCTGGTAGAAATATGCGTCAATCGGCCGTCGTGTTAGTGGCTGGCGATCTACTTACCTACCTTAGCACCGCCGTAACAAACAATAATGATTTTTGCCGAAAAAACGCCACCACTAATAGATGCTACTAAGGGCTTAGTAGGCAATTGGAATGCTGCGCTCTCTTTCGACAAACAAAACTTACACTCCACAGGTCGCTTATTCTTCATATGCTTCTATATGGCGAAGAATGATGATAAATGATGAAAAAAAAAATTCTTATTACGATCTTTGGTCCTCTATGAGTTGGTGATGACTACCGCATCTGAATGAACCACGAGCTGTACGAACTGTATCACGACATTGTTATAATGCAGCGAATTAACATTCAACGGCCCCTCTGGCTTGGTCATGTCGTAAGAATGAATGAAGATGACTCAGCGAATAAAGTATTTGAAACAGTAGTTGGAGGAATAAGACGTAAAAGTAGACCGTATCTCCGGTGGAGTGATCAAATTAAGGAAGCAGTAACCAGACTTGATATACGAAAATATAGAAAGTGCTCACACAGCAGAGGTGTCTGAGACAGACATGGTGCATCAGACCGATACCCGGTAACGGGTTGTTATAACCAAATAAGTAGGTAAGTAACACACTTAATATATATTTATTAATATGCGCACATTTTGTATAATTAAACTGTGCCCGATATTTATTATTATGTTGAAGTTTTTTTTGAGCCAGTGCATTTAAGCACTTTTACTCTTTCTTAACTCGAGGTATCTTCAAAACCTCGATATTTAGTTTTATATTATTTACATAGTATTTAAACAAAAAGTAAAACAGAAAAAAATATTGCCAGAAAGCATATGTTGTAGTCAGGATATTTGGATGCTGTAGAAGAAGCGTAGTACCCATTTTTCTCAGCGGAAAAATTTTCAGCATATATGGATACTGTAGAAGAGGTATCCTCTATGGAATAACCTACAAGAAAAGAAAAAATGAACAGAATTCAAGGAAATGTTTTGTTACTGAAGTTGAAATTTTTAGAATAAATTTTACCATTGCAAACATCACAAAAGCTTAAGGTGAAAACCACCAACACAAAAATAAATGTGGATTTCATCATTATTAACACTGAACTGTCAAGATATTAATATTGCAAATTTGATTTATATTAAATAATTAAAATAAATTCAACATCATTATATGCATGCAAGCATTTTAATATCATCAAATTAATCTGGGTAAATTAATTATAACTAATTATTTCTTGTGTTAAAATTGTTTTAGGTAAATAATATTTCATGTACAATTTTTTATTGGTAGTAAAACAGAAAAATTAAAAATAAATAAAAAAACAAGTTAAAGCCATATTAAAAAATAAATACATATAAACAATTGAGGTCGGTAACATTATTTATAAAAATATTAAAAATTCTCTGTAGTATTTGATTATAACATTTTTTATAACCAAAAAAGCAAATGTTATACTGAATCAGATAAAAAAGTTGTGTTATTCTACTATCAATTATCAATTACATAGTCAATTAATAAATTAGGTATTATGTTTATCGCATTCAATAGACTAAAATCAATGCTAATGTTTTTAACGTCGCATGGAGAAAATGATAGGAAATAATTGAATTTCAAATATATTTAAGTGCCAATCTATGAAAGCTTAATTCAAGATAAAATATTGTAGTTTCAACTAACTTTAACCTAATTGAAGAATTTTTAAATTTAAAAGTATTTCTTAATAGGAGTTGTACAAGTATCTTGTAGCATCTGGACAACACATATAGTATAAACTAAAAATGAGAGTAGATAATCAATATCAAAAAAAATAAAAAAAATAAAAGAGCCACAATAAGATAAGCTCATTTAGCTTATTAATAAAATAAATCATATTAAAAATAATAGAAAAGTGAGAGGTTTATATGAGAGGGAGCTTGAAATAAAAAGAGAACTGATAGTAACATTTGACTAATTCAAATTGTAAACAACAAGAACCTATTTCAGCGATAATGACTAGTATCACAGCCAAACAGTGAAGAGAATACTAGGTATTGACATCACCAAAACTAACATATAATGATTATATAAAAAGTATTATAGAGTTAAAGTCAACCTTAGCTTTTTAATCTTACTTCATATAATAATATTTGAGTACATTTTATACCATAAGAAGAAAGAAAACGAACCTTTTATTATCTTTATGCAACATAGGCTCATTGATATTAATATAGAATGAAAATATTTACTAGCATACTAAATATAATATCTTTTTTTATATATTGTTATCAATAGTTCGGTTATTCCTTCAAAATTAAAACTTTCTTCGATATTAAATAATACTCGAAATCAATTTCAAATACACACCTAATTCAATAAATTTTTCTACACCGTTTTATGTTTATAAAGCTTACTTCCTCAGATATTAATATTTAAGATTGTAAATCAATGTTTGATTTCAATTCTGTTGACGCCAGTAGCACATATAATTTCAGCATATTCAGCATTCAGCAATGCTTGATATCATTAAGAAAATCAATGCAGTTTAGTCAATATTTAAAATTAAGTCTTACTTAGAGTGAATTACCTAAGTAATCACCTTCATAATAGAGTACCGTGAATTAAAAACTTAATTTAGGATCAAAACACACACCAAATGACGAGAAAGAATAACTGGTTGTAGGTGACTTTCATATCTAAATTTCCAACTTTAGAGACCGTGAATTAAAAACTTAATTTAGGATCAAAACACACACCAAATGACGAGAAAGAATAACTGGTTGTAGGTGACTTTCATATCTAAATTTCCAACTTTAAAGACCGATAACTCGTAAACTAAGGTATTTTGACATATTGTGTAGTAGAGAAAATTGTTCAAAAAAACTGCGTTTATTAAAATTCCATGTCAAATCTTGTATGAAAGATATCCAACGCTGCAATAACATAACTTCAAAGCACCACTTTTTGATATAAAAGCTAATTAAGATAAAGGATCAGCTATTCTCTAATGGCAATATCAGATCATAAAGATCATAAAAAACAGGAGTTTGAAAGCCTTTTACATGTTAGCATAATGTTAGAAAGAATAATAACTATTATTTTAATTTGAAAGAGATGGCCCTATTAATTACATTCAGATATTGTTAAAACTAAAAGATAATGCTAGAATAGTACTTAAGTGATGATGAAGCTAACAGTAATGATTAGATTAATAATAAATATGATAATAATAACAATGATGAGGTAATTTAATATGATTATTTTAGTGACAATGATAATAATGATATCTTCGATGATTATTATATGAAGTTGTTGTTGGTTATTGTTATAATGATAATAACGATAATGATAATATTGAAAACAAAATAAGAAAGATATATTTTTCTCTGGCCGTTGTGCCAGAGATCTTTAATGCCGTGCGTGAACTGATAATGCAAGATCGTCATGTGACATACCGTGAGGTAGAGGCATCCTTGGGCATTTCTCCCACTAGCACACATTCGATATTGCATGAACACCTGGCCGTAAAAAAGGTTTGTTCTCGTTGAATCCCGCACAATTTGACGATCGCAAAGAAATGTTGAAAAAATACGTTCGTATTGCTTAAAAAGACGTTTATAATATCGTCACAGGTGACGAATCATGGATCTATGCGTATGAGCCCGAAACAAATTCAACGAAAGTTATTCATGGAAGAAGCACTTCGAAGCAAATGGTCGCCTGTTTGTTCCGCAAAACTGGTCATGTGGCGACTGTTCCGATTGAGCAACGAAGGACAGTCACTTCTGAGTTGTACACCACAATTTTTTTGCCTGAAGTCTTAGGAGAAATATATATAGCAGCCCTCGTATAAATACCTTTATTACGATATTTACACAAAATAAAATACCATATCGAATACAGTCGTTTTAGTGTACTATACTTAAAATGCAAACGCTTATATGGGGTCTAAAAAGTAGAATACGCACATTGATGGCCTTTTTTTTGACACGCTGAAAACATTAGATACGGTTCAAGACTGCGTTTATACGTGCAGGTCTACTAAATCGGTTCGAATCAGTGCTGCTATATAAACATGGCATATGACTACATGTAAAAATTATATATCGACTACATTAAAAAAAAATAAGTTAGTGCTACTGCTACTGCTTTTTTCATTATTTTAAAGGTATACGTTAGTGAAATATTAAGATCAAATGAATTAAAGGCAAATACCAACTTCGCTGAGATGTAAATTTATTATTATTAATTAAATTTTATTTAGCAAAAATTAAGAAAAAAAACATTGAAATTTTTTACAGGGAAGTAATTGATAAAATAAATAAAATTAATAACTTAATAGTTTATTTTGATTTCTGTTCAATTTCATAACCGTTTCGAATATTTTATTGGAATTTTAGTTTATTTATAATACATGATTTAATTACGTTAGCAAGATTTGAGGATAGCCATTCTTTGTGTCTGGCAATATCTATATTTTACTAGATATTAGCAAAACTTTTTAGAAAATATTTTATTTCATTCACTTTAAATATGTGTACCTTTGTTTGAAAGCAAATAGGGCATAATGATCGATTTTATTAATAGTTTTATTTACATATTATAATATTCCTTTCTGTACCTTTTATTAATACTAATTCTAATATTAAAAACATTCATTTATTCTTATTTTTATTATTCTAAAATCTTAAATTAAGTGTGAACAACAAATTCACATTCACTTCTGAATATAAGGTAATTATTAGTATTTAATTACTAAATTTCACTAAAAATAAAAATGCAAAATTATTTGCATTTTAATTAGTGGATATATAAGTAATAATTATAAATTAATCAGAAATTAATACTCCACGAAATGAAAGGAGCATTTTCCGTAGTAGTAGTAGTGGTAGTAGTAATTTTATCTTCTTCTGTCTGTTTCGTTATATTGTCATTGACTACATTGCTACTTTTTTCAGTGATATCATCAGTTTTCTCCGTGATTTTATCGAACTCAGTATTTTTACTTTCTGTAGTCGATTTCATAGCAGTTGGTTCAGGTGTAGAACTAAGTAGAGCACCTTTATTGAGCCTTAGAATATGATCAGCACTAGCTAGAATAAAAAAAAAATATGATAAAATAATGGATTTGATAGATCTAAGAATTGATCTTACCAATATAAATGCCGGTTACAGTCAATAGCAAACAAAATGTAATAAGATACTTCATTTTTTTTCCGTAATCTATTTTCTTTATAGTAGTTATTAGTATAAAAGCAAACAACTATTAAAATAACTTTTCACATTTCTTTATATATATGAGATGAAATTTATATATATGATAATAATTAAATTTTTAGTCATTAAATCGTATTCTTAATAATCAGTCACATTAAAATTGCAATATATCGAGTTTATAAACATGAATTCAAAACATTTGATAAACCAGTTTAAATAACTTAAAAAAGAGTAAAGAGAATTACAGCTAATTGTTAGATGTTAGTATCTATATTACATCAATTGAATTACATTTTTTAAGATATTTTCTATTTTGATATTTAGAATACAAACTTGTTTTATAAGCTTAAAGCTTTACTAAAGCTTAACATATAATGTTAGAATCTAAGAATATATTTCCGACTTTGAACTTTATATAGAGAATCAATTTACTTATGTAAAGATTAAGAATAGTTCAATGAGATTTTAATTAAAACCTTTTGTTTTACTTTCGAATATTTATTAATAAATAGAGTTTAGTGATATTTAAAATATTTTAGATAGCAAATAATGCCATTGTTAACGCCATTAGAAATAATTTTGCTTAAGAATATTGGAAAAAATATTAAAAGAAATGCCATGATACCAATTGAATCTTATAAAAAAATAAATCAAATTCATGGAAGAATTTCTGAATATTTGCTTTATTAATTATAATATCAAAATCATTTATTTAGATTGGGAAAGATTTCAGTTTTAGTTGATCGAATAAACGAGATGTTATTATTATAGTTTTTAGCATATATCTAATATATATATGCAAAACTATGTAAAATTGGCATATATAAAATTGCAAAAAATTTATCATCTTGCGAAAAATTTGGTTCAAATAAGATTCTTTAGGTAAATTAAATTCATATTTGGTTGACAGAATAAACTGGGTGATAAAATTAATGTTTTTGGTATTTATCCACTAAAATTGCAAAAAAACTGAATACTGTTTTGATGGAATAAAGTAGGCGATAAAATGAATGGTTTTGATACTTATCTATTAAAATTGCAATAAAAATTATCCTCATGCAATAGATTTAATTCAAATATAGTTTTAACTTATTTGTATAGCTAGATATTCATGTGTACTGGACTGAAATTTGATGTGCTTATTTTCAAGCACTAGAACAAAAAACTAATTTTTTATATTATATATTAAAAGTACATATTGAAATATACTGGTAAAACTTCTTATAATATTCTGACTGCATATAAATAAAAAAATAGTAAAAATGGATTTACGTCAACAAAACTGGCGTAGACCATATATTAAAATTCGCTCCATATATTTATTTACATATTTTATATATATATTTATATACTCCATATATATATTATTATATATAATATCAATATCACATTTAACGAACTAAATAAGTTAATGTTGTGCAAAAAAAGAGTCAAAGTTATAGGATTGTATAATTAATGAAGTTGGTCAAATAGCAACTAAAACTGCACACGATAATTATTTAAAAACATAAGGAAAGCATATAAAAAAAATACTTTAATTTTAAAGATTTAATTTTATGTTGGAGCTATTTGAGCCAGTGCACTTGAGCACTTTTAATCCTTCTTAACTCGAGGTATTTTTAAAACACCTCTTTAAGCCTTGATGGGATTTTTGTTTATCACTTCATCAGACTAAGCAATAATTGACCTCAGATCTGCATACCTCCACTAGGAACCTGCAACCATTTTGGGATTTGATAACGCGGTGTTGGTAAGTCTGTCAGTTGTCTCAAATATTTTCAGGGCTCTATTCTTTATGTATTTTTGGATGGGATCAATCTTGATGCCCCTGAGGATGTCATTCGTCCTAATGTATCATGATACCTTGAAAAGTCTTCTCAGAGCCTGGCTTTGTGCAATTTCTAGCTGGCGAATAGTAGTGTTTGAAGCATTGCTAAACGCTACACATCCATATAGAAGTGACGGACGAATTATTTGGTTATTTATCAGTTTCCTCTTTTTAATATTAAAATCACATTTTGATAGATATCATTTCTTTTCATTTTCTTATTTAAAATAAGTCTACATTCACAAATTATTAATTTCTTCTCGTTGTTATTTCAAACATTCACAATTTATTCATGAATTAAAATTATTTAATTAAAAACTCGTTATTAAAATTAATAAAAAATTTTCTATATTTAAATAAAATTGTATACAAATGTTACAAAAACGATTAATATTTTATATCAAACTGAATTTTTTTAAAACCATTAAGCAATTTTTTTAATCAAAACGTTTATATATGCAAAGTAAAATTTTTTAATTTTTCTATTTAAATCAATTCTGTGTAACTTGTAATTATTCATCACCGGCAGGAGGTGTAATAACACCTACTTTAGATTCGCCACTCTGTGCGTCCTTAGTTTTGCTTAAAACCTTCACTTCAGCACTTTTAACATCTTCTTTCAGTTCAACTTTCTTTATATCAGGTTTAGATTCTGGTTTAGCTTCTTCCTTAGCTTCAACCTTTTCTTCAGGTTTTTTATCTTCAGTGCTCTTATTATCAGTCGATCCTGATTTTCCAGCCACTTCATCATTCAATTTTTGCACATTTGCTGTTCTGGCTGAGAAAAAAGCCAAAAATAATTTTAAAATTATTATTATAAATATATATATATTATAATTATATTTTATAATATTATATATTTACTATAAATTAATTATTTCTCACCCAGGCATACACCAGCAACAGCCAAGACAAGACATAAAGTCATTAAATATTTCATATTGAGCTCAGTTAGGTGTAGTTCAGTTTCCTTCGAATTACAACTTACAAATGATTTCAAAATCCGTAAATGGTCGTAAGAGAACTGTAATGAAATCGCAGTTATAAACTAAGAATGAGGTTTTATCTAAACATAGGCAAGTACTATAATTTACTGCCTTCTTGCAGTTTGCCTTTGGAAACTTATTCATTAATATTGATTTACTGTTTTAATTAAAAAACCATGCATTCTATTTCATGGATTACATTAACTCGAACATGTAATATAATGGAAATTTTATAAAATTAAATTAGACACGATTTTTAATACATTAAAATTTTTAATTTCATCAGTTCAACTTTTATAAAAAGTATTACGTTTTTATGTATTTCAAACAGTGTTTAACTATTTGTTGCAATAAATTTATTTGTATTTTTTTTTATTTTCTATAAAGAAACATAAGTTGTGAATAATTTATTTATTGATGTTAATAGATAATAAAAAATATTGAAAGATGATATTACAACAACCTCGTATTCAAGTTTTATTTTTAATTAGTGAATAAAAAGACTAATGGGAATAGAATATATACATTAGATTTTATTTTTGTTTTTATTATTATATAGTAGTCCTTATACAAATCGTCGACACTTCGAAGTTTGTTTACACAGAGCGGAGTATTATTACAATTCCCTCCTGAGGAGTTTATTATAACAATTGTTTATAATAAATAACATTTTTTTTTGTATAATTTTTATATACTTTAACTCAATTTCAATAAAAAACTATATCACTTAATATCAGCTTATAACTTGTTGACACACATTATTACAAAATATAAACGTAGTACAAGTTTAAAAACATTGAAGAAAACTCTGCAGTAAAATATTTTTAATAATATCAGAAATACGGTCTTATACTTTTATAAAGAAACTTTAAAAATTCTTCAAAGAGGGCAAAATATTGCCTTAAGAAAACTGGTTAACGCCCCATGGTATGTAAGAGGAGCTGATATCCACAGAGATCTGAGAGTGGATTCAGTTGAAAAATACATTAAAGATCGTGCTCTGAAACTATTCAATACAATTGACAGTCACAATAATCCAACACTCAGTATCCTAAAAATACAGCGAAATTTGATAAACACAGGCAGATACAAAGATATCAGATCCATCATATTATAAAGCCCCGTAAAGCCCCGTATTTAGTGTGACTTAAAATTGTCCACAGATAAAATAGAGTAAAGGTGCTGATTCACCAACTCAGACATCTGAATATCAATATCAATAAAGAAACTTGTAAAACTTCTATCGTTAACAAGAACGATATTGTTTAAAATAAGTGTAATAAATAGAAATTTAATATTTTTGCTTGAAAGACTTATTTACTATAGTTTAGCTTGATAACTTGTTGTCATATTGAAGGTAATTTCATTATGCCCCTCTCGTCGAAGTCCTCATCCCTATTGGCAAAATAGAGACAGTTGATTTTGACAAGTCTCTCTTGAAGCGAATTTATCACCACAAAAATCGTTTGCTATGGACAAGACCAAATGGTAATTACTTGGTGCCAGGTCTAGACTTTAAGGTGCAGCCCCAATATCGATATGCGTGGCCTGGTGTTGTTGTGATGAAACATAATTCATCTTCTATTGCTGTTTCTGGGCATTTGCTTTCTTCAGATGGTCAAATTGTGCCAGTTAACAGTACAGTTCCGAGGTAAGATTCCACCTATCCCACCAAACATAAAGCAAAACTTTCCTAGCCGACAATTCTGTCTTAGCCACCGTTTCAACCGGCTCACCGCGATTCAACTGCAACCGTATTCGGTTGACGTTGTCGTAACTAATCCACTGTCTTATTATCATCATTAATAGGATAGACACTAACCGCTTTAGAATTGGGTCGAATTTGCATATAAGTATGTATGCTTTATGCTTGTATAACTTATATATATATAATATATTAAATTATATAATATAATAAAAAGTAATAAAATATAAAACAAACTATTATCTCAATGAAAAATTTATTTATTTAATATTTTATTTTGTTTATATTTAAATATGTAATTCTGAAAATGTGATGCAATTTTTGATGTAAACAGTATCATATTAATGAAGTATTAGTTAATGAACCATTGAACTCACTGAACTATACGAAATCAAGTAATATTTAAAACTTACATACGTTGTTTCAATTCTCCTCTACAGTCAGTAAGAAAAGAAACAAAGAAATTATTTGCATATTTATAGCAAATAGGTTTGTTAGTAATTAATAACAATAAGGTACTAAGGTATTGTTAATATAGTTCTAATTGTCACAAGTATTAACCTGATAAAGCTGGTTTTTATTATTATTGATATGGGACATACCACTGCGACCGTTGGGTCTATTGTGCCACCTTCTGGGCTTAGAGCAGGTCTGTAAGTTTTGTTCTTTCGATGAAGCGTAGTTTCGTTTTACTAAACTAAGAAGTATACTGTAAATGCTACTTAAAATATTAAAAAAACTAATTTCATATTTTCACTTTAGTATTTTTGCGGTATCTACATTGCAATATACATATGTGTATTACTAATTTCAGACGTAAATACATGACCAATTATTTACTGTTTCTTAAAATTAAGTAGTAACGTATCCAGTAGAGAAAGGTAGATTAAATAATACATTTTTGCAAGTGTAAAAAACATCAAGTTACAGTCTAGATAACGTGTACTATAACAATCAGAATAAGGTTTTTTAGAAAATGACTTCATTTTTTTCTATGAAAATGAAACCCGATTTTATTACAGAGAATAAATAAATTATAGAATTATATATTGTTCATTCTACTTCGATAGCTTTTTCCATCTTTCTGGTTGTAGCGTTAATAAAAACGCACCAACCAAAAACAACTACGCAAAAGCAATAAAAATTTCTCACAAACTAGCCTTGCCATATCAGCTATCAGAATACATAATAATTATCTAGCTTAAATCTAAAGTTGGTTGTGAAAAAACACAATTTCATGGTTGGCCAAAAACCAAATTTCTTTCCAAGAATCCAATTTATTATATAAGCAGTAAATTTTCATTTCTTAAACACCTTTAAGAACATAATATTCGTAGTCAAATTTATAGAGATTAATATATGATTTTACAAGGATTCAGGAATTGAATTTGTTTCATGTAAAAATCTTTAATAAACTCTATAATAATAAAAACTGTAATAATATAAATATTATTATTTTACAAATATTCAGAAATCTTGCACTTGAATGAATAAGTAATGATTTTTCTATCATAAATAACAGGAATCATAAAATGTAATATTCCCAATAAAATGAAGTCCAATCTGAGCACACATTGAATTTTAAAATCCAATCAGTGAAAATGAAACATTACACACTATATAATATATTCTATGTCCTTTTTATTATTAATTAAGATTTAATTATTCTTGTTTTCACTTAACGTCCGGCTACTGCAGCTAACAATTTTGGATTTAGTTTTTTCGATAATGTAACTTTGGAATCTTCCTTGGATGTGTTTTCTGCTGGATCATTGACATCGGCCGCTTCTATAGATTTTCCATCATCTTCGCTTGGTTTTGGTGGACTTGTGCCTGATGGTATTAGTTTAGCATATATTTAATAAAAAATTATATTCTATATTTATTTTATTTATATTTTATTTACCAAGGCAAATAGCAACTACACTCAACACAAGGACAAGTGTGAATAAAAACTTCATTGTTCTGATAATTCAAACGTTTTGTTATCTTCGAATTGGAACTATGGAATGATGAGTATTTATATGTTACCGGTTGTATTTATACTCAATGATTATATAATTGACGACAAAATCAGGTTTATATTGGAGTGTATTTTAGCAATTATTAATTTTTTAATATAAAGCTATAATGTAATTGCAGCAATTGAAAACTAAATTTACTTATGCATAAATTTAAATACATTTTTAATTATTCTTCGATATGACAAAATGTGTTTTCATACAAAAACGAGTAGTGTTTCGGTTTAATGTTTTAGCAGACTCCGAACTGTTCTTGCTGACATGGAGAGTTACGTTTCTAGTACAACTGTTAAAACAACTTTTTCACAGAAAGCAATTATCAGTTGTATAAAAGAACATATTCTTCTCAAAAATTATTTTATTATATATTTTATTATATGATATTATTACTATTGCGTTCATTTTTGCAGCTTAGACATTCGTGCAAATATAGACATTACAAGCGTTGTATTATTCCTCACGATCTCAACTGTCTTATTAATGACTTTTATTATACTTTTCAATAGACTACAATAGTTTGATATTCTAAAACCAATTCACATATTAAAAGTATTTAACAACAAACCACCGACACACTTACTTATCAGTCTTGAACCCTAAGTGTAATTATGAACATCACTGCTTAAAACTACAAAGTTACATCTTTGTCTATTAGGAATTAAAGTGGCTAAGTACATAAAATTATATTAAACACAACAATTTTTTTTAAGATGACTTTTTATGCTTTGCAACGTAGTGCCTTTTCACTATAAAGTTGTTACAGAAGTATTTCGATTTCTTTTTATCTCTTGCTATCGAGAGATAATATTGATAACAGCAATCTTCGATGTTATCAAAATATTTATTATTATTTCTTCAATGAAGCAAACCCAATTATCTGAAATTCCCTTCGGGACTAAGTTTTATAGATATTCGGGTTAAACACTAGAAAATTCAAGTTAGCTAATTCACTAACTGTGGTTTTGTTAGATGAAATTAAAATGTTCTAAGACTGGAGGAAATACATAATGTTACATATCTCATTCAGACAAAAATTTTTTAAATTAGAATACATTTAAATATTTTCGAATGAGCTAATTGGTCAATATAAAATATATAAACAACTTTTTAAATCAGTTTTAAAAAACATATTGTATTATTACCGATCGACTATAGTCATCTATAGTCAATAGTCTATAGAGTATAGACAATAGTCACTAGTTTAAAATTCTGCCTTTAATAACAGTTAAATCAAAGCTATTTAGACAGAAAAGGAAGTTATGTCAACTAACCAACCTCCCGATGGGTTTCATCATTTGCCTCCATATAGCTCGAAATCCTGGACTCAAATTAAATTTCTGTCATATGGATAATACATAATAAAATTAGATAAAGCCATTAAACGAAGGTTATCCAACTCACACTTTAAATTTAATAATCCACAGTGAAAATAATACATTATCATAGTATTAGTTATTATGACCTTTTTATTTTTATATGAATTAAATTATTTTCATTTTGACTTAACGTCCTGCTGCATCTTTTAGATTAGCAGGTGGTAGTCGAATCTGGTCGTAATAGTAGGATCTGGGTTGTTTGTCAGTCTTTTTTGGAACACGTGAGTGTTGTGAACTATCCAGCAACTTTGAATCAAGGCCTAAGGATCAATATATAATAGTTATATGATGAATTAAAAAACAAAATGGTATTTACCAAAGCAAATAGTAATTATGCTTAATACCAAAAATAATGCAAATAAAAACTTCATTTTTCTTAAAATTCAACCGCTTCGTATTCTTTGACTTTGAACTATGAAGTGATGAGCATTTATTCGTAACCCGTGGTATTTATAGTTGCCGCACTGAAATGGATGACAGGTTTAATCAGGTTTACTCAATATTTGAATTTATCTTAGAAATGATTAATTATTTTTGTTAATATATAAATTCAATAACATTATAATGCGTTGTTCTATACTCGAAACTATACAAAATTTAGTTAGCTTAGTTGATTTAATCCTATAACTGCTCTAAAATTGGCTCCATCTAAAAGGCCTACGTTTCAGTATTGGGATAACTGATATTAAAAGTATTTTTTTAACAAACAATTAAGATTGGAAAAAAGTTATGAATGAAAGCTACTTAGACAGAAAAGTAAGTTATACCAACTAATCAACCACACGATGGGTTTCATCATTTGCCTTCATAGCTGTTAAGAGCACCGATACTATGACTTATTTATGTAATATTCAGTAGAACTTATAAACAAACTCATACTTTAAGGTGTTTACTAAAATGAAAAAATAAATCATTTGTATCGTGAGAATAACAAAATATTTTTGCAGTTGGTTTGAAATCTTAAACTCAAATGAACTTACCGTCATATAAATAGGTAGGTAGGTTGGAGTGACGGTCTTTTTTCTCCGAAAAGCTCATTTGAGCTCAAATGATGGCCCATTTTGGTACCACAGGAATAGCATTGGTAAGTACATAGATTCATATCAGTATTCAGTCAACGCCGAAAATGGTAATGACTCCCCATTAGATAAAGGAAAACCGACCTGACAGTTCTATAATCTTGGCCAGGTCCTTAATATTACAGGGTGACAGCTCAGTCAGATCGGTGAGAAAAGGGGGTCCAAAGATTTTTAATCTTCTTCTAGCTAAAGAAGGACACCAACACATAAGATGGAGCATGATCTCCTCCTCATCCTCAGAGCCACAACCTGAACAAAAATCATTATAGGGTAGACCCAGTCTCCTAGCATGCCTTCCTAATTCGCAGTGACCTTACTTCAACTTTAGTTGAAGTAGCTAAATAGTTTGTTTCTTATTTAAATTAGACCAAGGCAACCTAGATATATTACAATGAGGTTCATCAGCTCAGTATTGCTTGACCACGCTCAGTTATTTTTATTTATTTGACAGTTTAACTGTAGCAAGTGCAACGCCTATATTTGAGAAGAAAATGTTAGGAAATGTTAGAGCGCCTGACTTGGTGAGGTCATCTACCCTATAATTACCCTAGAAATCCCTGTGACCAGGAACCCTTGTTAGGCTTGTTAGGGTTAAACTTAAACTCTAACAAGCGTAGCTAAGTCATTGAGAGAAGCACGGCAGTTTTGAGTTATAATTGATGTGGTTGAGGTGCCTAACAGTGATCTGATGAAAGTTTGGCTATGCGAGAAGATTGACATGGATACATCGGTTGTTAGATTGTTTAGAATCCATTCCACAGCATGATGAATTGCTATTACTTCTGCCTGAAAGACACTACAGTGATTTGATAGTCGAAACGAGAGACTTTGACCCAGTCTTTCAGACAATATACCACAGCCGACTTCTTCGTCGATTTGGAACCGTCTGTGTAAATGTCTGCCGTATAGAGAGGGATCACTCTTTCAAGTATCCAGTCCTCCCTACAAGGTATTAGAGATTTAAACCCCCAGTTAAGGTCTGGGTAAGACCACGTGTAGTCAGTCGACACGAGGGTTGGCAGATCCTGGTTCAGTATGATCACGTACCCTATATCAATTCTTGAACAGCACGAAAGAGCATTGAGTTTGGTTGCTACTATTTTAGCTTGCCGTTCTACAAAAAGCCTAGATGGCAGTCAGTGAAGCACAGCTTGAGTGAGTATGGAGCGTAGAGCACCAGTGATTTGTAAGGCAGCTATCCTTTTTGTTTTCTCAATTAATTTTGTGTAGCACGCCTTTTCAGTTGCCTGCCACCAGAAGGCAGCCCTATAAAGAAGGAAGAAGGAGTTTAGAGTGCAGAAAGATACCCAGATATTTGACATTCTAACTTTAACGTAATGCCTTTTATCTCAGGCAGGGAAAACGGAGGGAAAATACATAATAGATCATAAAATGAAATAATGCCATCAAAAGAAACTTGTCCCACTCACACATTAAATTAAATAAACCAAGAAAATAATACATTATCATAGTATTAGTTATTATGTTCTTTTTATTTTTATATAAAATTGAATTATTTTCAATTTGACTTAACGTACTGGCAGTCTTTTTAGCGTACCAGGTGAAAGTTCGTCATTACTAAACTGTCCATGTTCTGAGTCCAGTGAAGATTCGAGTAGCTTTGGACTAATGCCTTATAATAAAAATATAATAGTTGTAAGATAAATATATTAAACAAAAATTTAATATTTACCCAGGCAAATAGCAAATATGCTTAATATCAAAAAGAAAGCAAATAAAAACTTCATTTTTCTTAAAATTCAACCGCTTCGTATTCTTTGACTTTGAACTATGAAGTGATGAGCATTTATTCGTAACCCGTGGTATTTATAGTTGCCGCACTGATAATTGATGACAGGTTTAATCAGGTTTACCCAATATTTGAATTTATCTTAGACATGATTAATTATTTTTGTTAATATACAAATTCAATAATATTATAATGCGTTCTTCTATACTCGAAACTCTCAACAATTTAATTACCTTAGTTATGAATTAAACATTACTCTTTGAAAAAAAAGTGCTGATTGTTTTGAATCCTATAACCCCTCGAAAATTGCCTCTATCTAAAAGGGCAACGTTTCAGTATTCGGATAGTGGATATTAAAAGTATTTTTTTAAAAAACAATTAAGATTGTAAAAAAATTATGAATGTCCGATTTAAAGACTTGATTCCAGATTACTAACTACAAATAATCGCATTGAATGTTCGATGAGCTAATACAATTTGATATATATATATTTACTCATACTTGCACATTGACAAATCTATTAAATATATTTATTATTACAAACAACAATGGTATACTGCGACTTATTCTGCTATCACTGGAAAGATTCTATTAAACCAATCTGGACAAATTAAAGCAGTTTACAAACCTAACAATATCTCTTGGTACTATATTTAAACCTCATTCGGTTTATAGAAAAGTGATTAGAAGTACTGGACCTGCTTCCTAACCTACGTTGATCCATATATTACAAGAACGGTAAAAACATCAAATATAAAACAAGAAGAAGTAAGATATAACAAACGTACCCCGTATCCCAGAGGTTGTGTGAAATAACAATAATAATATTATCCGCTAAAAATCTTTAATAACTTTGTAATTCTATTTTGAATTAAATTTAAGATTATTGTTAAATGTATTTTCAGGAGTTAATTCTTTTCATATATACGTTTTTTTCGTTACTGTTTATATATTTAAATTTAAATAAACGAAAAAATATTTTAATGTTGACTTTCCTGTACGTCTATTACATACATTAAAGCTATTGCACATCATATACTTGATATATAATTGCACATATGTACATAGCACATACATTTTACATAACATTCTATACAGTAATAGTTAACAATTGTAAAATTCGTAAAAATACCTACTATAATCTCTGAAAGTGGGCTTATCTATGAATGTGAACCAAACGAAGGATTTGTCGGTTACTGGTAAAAAAACTATGCCACTCGGACATCGAGTTGGTGCCTAGTAACTGTACTTTTAATTCTATCAAGGATTTGATGCACCTTAGTACGAACATAACTATCTCTGAATTGTTTATTATTATGGAAAGTCGATTAAAAGATTTGGTTACATATTTACATATATATATTAATTCATATTCATTCATTTATATCAGAGATTACAAAGATTATTTGTGGTATTAACACTCAAACATAATAATTTAAATTTAACAAATCTTAGCTATATTAAAAATTAGGTAATTGTCAGTAAAATTTGTTACTAAGACCTTTATTCTTCTTGCTGATGCAATTTTTTTTCAATTTTTAATAAGTTTTTTTATTAATCATTTTAATTATAATTAACGTATTCAGTTATGAAAGTATGTGTCTACTACGTTCTAAACTCAGCTGGAATATTAGAGTTAAAATTATACCAAAAATTCGTTTAATAGCATTGTAATTGATAAAAAATATAAAGTTGGTTACAATTCCATAGAAATTTTGTTTAAATGTTGAAAAATAAAAGTTAATTAATCCACTAGTCGTGGCTTTATTAGAGTAAATTGAGAATAATCGATGACTGACGATATTGCATATGTTATATATTCAAAGAATAATTAATTCTTAACTGATTCTTTTTAAAATTTATTTTTAAATTTAGTGGCCTTAATGAAACTACGTTAATTTGAATTAAGTTAAAAGTTTATAAATTTCTATGTAATAATAATCTATGTAATAATAATATTAGAATATTAATAACAATATTCTATTTATTTATTTTAAATAGAATATTACCAACACAAATAAAAAGTGTACGAGCACTAAAGTTATGGAGATACTCCTTTGCGGAGATGCTGACAAGGATTCAAGAACTAATAATTTGTTTCATTTAAATATTTTCAGACAGTTTTCAAATAATTTTGAAAGAAGAACAACTATTCTTTTATAATATTCTAAAATTATTTCAAAGTCCTACACATGAATAAATAAATAAAAATGACTTTTCTACCATAAGTAACAACAGTCATAGAACAAAAGTTACCATCAATTTGAACTCACATTAAATCTTTAAATCCAAATATTAAATAAAATAAATAAAAATAAAACATTACACAATAATGTTTATAATATATTCTATGTCCTTTTTATTATTAATTAAGATTTCATTATTCTTGTTTTCACTTAACGTCCGATTAATTTAGCTAACAATTTTGGATTTAGTTTGCTCGATAATGTAACTTTGGAATCTTCCTTGGATGTGTTCTCTGCTGGATCATTGACATCGACCGCTTCTATGGATTTTCCATCATCTTCGCTTGGTTTTGGTGGACTTGTGCCTGATAGTATTAGTTGTAGCATATATTTAATAAAAAATTATATTCTATATTTATTTTATTTACCAAGGCAAATAGCAACTACACTCAACACAAGGACAAATGTAAATAAAAACTTCATTGTTCTGATAATTCAAACGTTTTGTTATCTTCGAATTGGAACTATGAAATGATGAGTATTTATATGTTACCAGTTGTATTTATACTCAATGATTATATAATTGACGACAAAATCAGGTTTATATTGGAGTGTATTTTAGCAATTATTAATTTTTTAATATAAAGCTATAATGTAATTGCAGCAATTGAAAACTAAATTTACTTATGCATAAATTTAAATACATTTTTAATTATTCTTCGATATGACAAAATGTGTTTTCATACAAAAACGAGTAGTGTTTCGGTTTAATGTTTTAACAGACTCCGAACTGTTCTTGCTGATATGGAGAGTTACGTTTCTAGTACAACTGTTAAAACAACTTTTTCACAGAAAGCAATTATCAGTTGTATAAAAGAACATATTCTTCTCAAAAATTATTTTATTATATATTTTATTATATGATATTATTACTATTGCGTTCATTTTTGCAGCTTAGACATTCGTGCAAATATAGACATTACAAGCGTTGTATTATTCCTCACGATCTCACCTGTCTTATTAATGACTTTTATTATACTTTCCAAAACACTACAATAGTTTGATAATCTAAAACCAATTCACATATTAAAAGTATTTAACAACAGTCTTGAACCCTAAGTGCAATTATAAACATCACTGCTTAAAACTACAAAGTTACATCTTTGTCTATTAGGGATTAAAGTAGCTAAATACATAAAATTATTTTAAACAATAATTTTTTTTTTAGATGACTTTTTTTTTATATGAAACTTCGTTATTATAGAAGTATTTTAATTTCTTTTTATCTCTTGTTAAACAGCAGTCTTCGATGTTTTCAAAATATTTATTGATGGTAGAAATTATGATCTGTTTGAATTGAAATCACTTCAATCAAGTAAACCCAATCATCTGAAATTCCCTTCGGGATGATTCAAGCAGGAAAATTCGAAGACTGGAGGAACTAAACAATGTTAATCTCATTCAGAGAATAATTTTTTAAATTATCATACATTTAAATATTTTGGAATAATCTAATTGGTCAATATTGATATATATATGCAACTTTAGTTTTAAATAAATAAAAAATAAGTTTTAAAAAATATATTGTATTATTACGGCTCGACTACAGTCTGAAGTCATCTTCAGGGTATTATGGACTTTAATTGCTAACTCATCATAAATTATCCACTTTAATTTAAGGTAGTATTAATTATTTAATAAATGTATTTTGAATCATGTATTAAGAAATACAACATTATGTTTTATTTATACGAGTAGTGCATTGCGATATTTTTTCTTATTTATATAGTAGCCATAACCTTACGAACTGACGAAACAGTTTTCGGCTTTTTAAATTTATCATGAAAAGTCAAATTTTACTGAGGCTCTTTCAATTCTGTGATATAGTTGTAAACTCATTTCTTCTCTACATTTAATCATAAAGACCTTATTTATATTTGAGTGATTTGTTCATTATTATACGGCACTTTGTATTTCCCAGGTTTTAAAATAATCCAATATCAACAATACGTCATCATTGTTGCACATTTTGGTAAAATCTAAGCAATATACTTTCTAGTAGTTTCTTATCAAATCCCATCACATTGTTAATAAGTTATTTTGTATTCTCAAAATACATATTTGGTATGTGGATGCGTTTTCTAAATAACACATATAACACATCTATAAGCATTTAAAAAATTGTCAAAAACCGTAGAACACGAAATTAAAAGATTTACTTGAAAAAAAGTTATTGAAGAACTTAACAATAAAAATTATAAATAAAGTATATTTTCTGCTGTCTTTTATTAAATATTTTAATCAGAAAGCGTTCTCCTCCACTGTCTTTATACTATAATCGTTTTAATATAAGTTTCTTCAATAAACAATCTTCTTTATCAACTACTTTGGTTAATTTTAAAACTTTGGTTTTAATGATCGTTAAATCAACGGCCTAGGAGTCGGGTGTAAGAAGTCGGATGCGTCTCAAACAGCACCTTTGGCTTTAATGTCAATCTTCTACCTTCCCGTGGTACACTCTGTTTCAACAGAAGAGGCTCTCGCAACCTCGTTCATGGCGGTATATCCATGCCAACACATCTTGCTGTAGTAGGTAATGATTGCAGCTAAAGCGGTGAATGTGGCAAATTCGGATGTCGCATCTCCCATAGATATGCGTCAAAGGTAGCAGCCCTACCACCAAACTTTGAAAATTAAAGGCTGATACCTTATGATTCTTGAGAACAACCTTTATCAACAATAATCCACAAGACAAAGAAATCAGCAGAACTATTTGATGACGAACACTGGCTTACACACACAGTCTAGATTTGCTCAGTGGAACGTGAAAACTCTCTATCAGGCAAGAAAACTAGCGCAGTTAACATCTGAGTGCAAAAGGCTATGTATCGACGTAATGAGAATAAATGAAATGAGGTGGAATACTTCCAGCGAAAAGCGTACTGCAGATGGTGATCTGGTGGTATATTCTGGCATGATTAATTTAGACGACCCACATGTTAACGGCGTTGGCATATATTTCAGTCCTAAAATAAGACCAGCTTCACTTAAATGGCATCCAATATCAGAAAGAATCATAACAGCGCGACTGAATTCTAAAAATCTCAAAATAACAATTGTTTAATGCCACGCTCCAACAGAAGAAAGTGAATTTGAAGCCAAAGAACAATTCTACAGTTTATTAAATAGAACGCTTACATAAATTAATCGCAACGATCTGGTAATATTGATCAGCACTGAAAAATCAAAATTTTCGAATACATCATATATGTGTAAGTAAGCGATGGACTCACACTCTACTCGATGTCAGAAATAAAGGTAGTGTGGTAATAGGTGACCACGACCCTATTGTAGCAGAAATGAGACTAAAAACCATATCGGTAGCTCGTAAGAATATGTCTGACAGGAAAATATTTTAGAACCATAAACTTCAGGAGAGTAATATTAAGTCAAACTTCTCTCAATCAATGCGCACTAGATTTGAACAACGTCCCAGAATAAACAATGTAATAGATATATGTATGTAATTTATGGGAAAACGCAAAACAATCCATTTTAGAAGCAGCTACTGAGGTGCTAGGAAAGGAAACGAGAAATAATAGAGAATGGCTACGCGCATTATTCTGGCAATTAGTTAAAACCAGAAAGACAAAAAAAAAGAGATGCCACTGAGTAAAGAAAACTTAAGAAGTGGTTTGGCACTGAGAAGAGAAATCGCAACACTTACTAAACAAATAAAAAGACAAGCAAGAGCAGATAAAAAGGCATTCTACGACTAATTGGCTAGCGAAGGGGAAGCAGCAGCATCTAAAGGCGATCTACGAGAAGTATTATATCACCAGAAAGCTATCCAATGACAACAACAATCGAACTGTGCCTTTAAGAGATAACAGTGGAAACTCTATAACTATGGAGGAGGAACAATTAAAAATGTGGCGCGACCATTTTAACAAGACTTTTAATGTGTTAACAACTAATAATGATATGCCGCAAATTGGTCAACCAAGGTGACCATTACGCAATATATGTAATGAACCTCCAACTAAACAAGAAATAGCATCACCGATACGTTCATTAAAAAATGGTAAATTTGCTGGCGTCGACAATATTCCAGCTGAACGTTTGAAAACCAATGTCGATTGCACAACTGATATGCTATATCCTCTCTTTAGAGATATTTGAAACAATGAAGAAATCCCTTCAGAGTGGAAAGCATCGATAAAAGTAAAATTAACAAAAAAGGGTTACCTCTCTGACTGCAACAACTGCAGCGGAATAGCACTAGGCCCAGCAGTGAGCAAGTAATACTAAATCGCATTGTAGACCCCATCAACGCACAACTTCGCAAACAACAATCGGGTTTCCGGTCATTGGCAATGCATTGATAACATAAATAGTATGCGAGTCATTATTGAATAATGCATTTAATTCAACAGCACTTTGTATTCACTTTGTATTCATCGACTACGATAAAGCTTTTGATTCTATCAAAAGAGACTGCATATGATTAGCCTTAAGAAGGATGGGAGTGCCACAAGAAATAATAAGGATTATAAGAAAAAGCTACGAACAATCAAAATGCAGAGTGCTACATAACGGAAAGTTAAGTGACTCCTTTGACTTCTTCACTGGTGTCAAGCAAGGCGGCATCCTATTACCATTGCTATTTATTGTAGTATTAGACTATGTACTAGAAATATGTAACACGCAAAATAGAGGTATCAACTGGAGACTTTACCCTTGAAGGTCTAGAATACGCAGATGACATCGTCCTGCTCTCGCAAAATCACCAGTATATGCAGTCAAAACTGACCCAGTTGCATAATGAATCCTCGAAAGTCGGTCTCAATATAAATATAAGAAAAAATAAATCTATGCGAATAAAATCTAATAATACAACCTGCTTCACAATCGGCAGCGAAGATGTGAATGATGTGGAGGGATTTAATTACTTAGGATGTAATCTCTCCATAGATAGAGGCGCAAAACAGGACATAAGCAGTCGAATACAAAAAGCAAAAGGAGCTTTCGCAAGGCTACGAAATATATGGCGAGCACACAACATCCGCACAAACACAAAAATAAAAATTTTGAATACATGCGTTAAGTCTGTCTTATAATACGGATCAAAGACTTACCTTCTAACGGAGGAGACTAAAAAGACACTACAGACTTTTATCAATCGTTGCTTGCGAAACATAATGAAGATATGGTGGCCAAAAATAACATCAAATGAAGAACTTTGAAGGCAAACTAACCAAACATCTATTAAGTCTTATGACGATATCCCGCACGCAGCGCTAACATAGAGTCCCCAGGGAACCCAACGTAAAGGCAGGCCAACAACAACATGACGAAGAACTGTTAATACTGAAACTGAAAAATCGTTTAAGAAACTTCGGCAGATTTCACAAAATAGGGATAGATGGAGATCATTTGTTGTATCCTTAAGCTCCTAGCGCAGTATGGAATGAATAATAAATCAAAGCTACTTAGATAGAAAAGGAAGCTATACCAACTAACCAACCACACGATTGGTTTCATCATTTTCCTCCATAGCTGTTAGGAGCACCGATACTATGACTTGTTTATGTAATATTCTTAGTCCAATTAAGTTTAAATGTTATCGTTCACATATTGCATACTTTAAAAATAATTATGTTAAACAAAATACATAGTAGAACTTTTAAACAAACTCATACTTTAAGGTGTTTACCAAAATGAAAAATAAATCATCTGTATCGTGAGAATAACAAAATATTTTTGCAATTGATTTGAAATCTTAAACTCAAATTAAACTTCTGTCATATAGATTATAGATCATAAAATAAGATAAAGCCATTAAAAGAAACTTATTCCACTTATACTTTAAATTTAATAAACCAAGCAGTGAAAATAATACATTATATCACCGTATTAGCTATTATGTCCTTTTTATTTTTATATGAAATTGAAATATTTTCATTTTGATTTAACGTCCTGCTGATTGTTTTAATACAGGAGGGGAAGGACCGGGATGTCTTTCATATACTAAGTCCGGTAAAGATTCCAGTCCCTTTGGACTAATGCCTTATGATAAACATATGATAGTTATAAGATAAATTTAATAAAATTAATTTAATATTTACCAAGGCAAATAGCAATTACGCTCAATACCAAAAAGAAAGCAAATAAAAACTTCATTTTTTTCAAAAATTTAACCGTTTCGTATTCTTTGACTTGGAACTATGAAGTGATGAGCATTTATTCCTAACCCGTGGTATTTATAGTTGCCGAATTGATAATTAATGACAGATTTTATCAGGTTTATTCAATATTTGAATTTATTTTAGCAATTACATTTTTATTAATAAACAAATATAATATACAACACGTTCTTCTATACTCGAAACTCCAAAAAATTTAATTAGCTCATTTATAAATTAAATGTTATTTTTTGAATACAGATGTTCTGATTGTTTTGATTCAATGTTATAACCACTCTAAAATTGTTTCTTCAAAGAGTTTAGTTAGTGGATATTAAAAGCATTTGTTTAACAAACGATTAACATTGCAAATAAATTATTATGGATGTTCGATTTAAATACTTAGTTCCAGATTACTAACTACATATAATCGCATTAAAAGTTCGATCAACTAACATAACTTCATGTATATTTATTTATATTTGTACATCTGTTTATTATTCTTATTATTACAAAGAACAATGGTACATTGCGAACTATTCTACTATCACTGGATAGATTCTAATAAACCAATCTTGACAAATTAAAGCAATTTGCAAACCTAACAATATCATTTGGTACTGTATCTAAACCTCATTCTGTTTATTGAAAACTGAATAGAAGTTCAGGGCCTGCTTCCCAACCTGAATTGCTCCATATACCTATTAGAAGAACGATAAAAACAGCAAATACAAAACAAGAAGAAGTAAGATATAACAAACGTACCACGTATCCCAGAGGTTGTGTGAAATAACAATAATAATATTATCCGCTAAAAATCTTTAATAACTTTGCAATTCTATTTTGAATTAAATTTAAGATTATTTAAATTTATTTTCAGGAGTTAATTCTTTTCATATATACGTTTTTTTCGTTACTATTTATATATTTAAATATAAATAAACGAAAAAATATTTTAATGTTGACTTTCCTGTACGTCTATTACATACATTAAAGCTATTGCACTTTATATACTTGATATATAACTGCACATATGTACATAGCACATACATTTTACATTACATTCTATACAGTAATAGTTAGCAATTGTAAAATTCGTAAAAATACCTACTATAATCTCTGAAAGTGGGCGTATCTATGAATGTGAACCAAACGAAGGATTTGTCGGTTGAAAAGTGTGCCGCTCGGACATCGAGTTGATGGCTGGCAACTGTACTTTTAATCCTATCAAGGATTTGATCCATCTTAGCACCAACGTAACAAATCACAATGGGCAATATATGCTTTCGAGTGGAAGTGCTGACAACGGTCAGCACGCGCCTTCCGAACCTAACCTAACCAAGGTTGCTCATCTAATTTTTGCTTCTGTATGGTAAAAATAAATTAATGATGATGAACCAGCGAAAAAGGAATTTTGTGCTTATTTCCTCCGTAGAGACAGATCACGTCTTCGGTGTAGTGATCAATTTGAGAGAGCACTAATTGAACTTAATGTACGCAACTGGAGAAAACATACACACAGCGAAGCGGGTCTGGAAAGACATAGTAAGTCAGGTCGAAAACTAGTAGCGGGTTGTTGTGAACATTAAAGTAAGTAAGTAACTATATTAATAAATAATATATAATTTCGTATCGGTTCAAATATTTTATACTCGTACTTTCAAAAATGACGTTATTTAGTTCTTTGTATGTATGATAAATACTTAAACTGCTACTAATTAACTCCAATATTTTTGGATACAGATTTGTATTAGTTAAGATGCATTAATTTCTAATTATTTAGTATGTTATATTAAATTTTTAATTTATCAAGTTTTAAAATGCTTATTTAAATCAAAAATTAAACCCGTTCTGAAAAAATCTTTTACGACATTTTTAATTATATTTTCATGACTTGTCTTTTATTATATATTGCATAAAAAGAGAATGAATAAGAAAAAATATGAACTTAATAAAAGTTTAAATATTGGAATAGAAGTATATGTAGAATAGTACAGCAAGTTTAAATTAATTATTTGAAATTCTTAATTTGCGATAGTGCAAATAGGGACATTACATGATGCCGTATTACTCCTCACTATCCTAACTGTCTTATGAATGACACTAATCACAGTTTCCAAAGTACTACAATAGTTTTATAATTTGAAACTAATTCACCTATATAAAATATTCGAGAGCTGACCAAATACGTGTTTATTTCTTAGTTCTAAACTGCACGTAGAATTATGGACTAATTGATCACTACTTTACACTATAAAGTTCCATCTTTGCAATGTAGCGATTAGAGAATCCAAATATTGTAGATAAAACTAAATTAAAAATAATAAATTTTTGCTTAGCAAACTTTGCCTTTACATTTGCTGAAACAGGCGGTAAATATTCATCACAACAACACTGTAAAAATTAAATATATTTTTAAACGTATTTTCAACACAGGACTACAAAATTAGGGTACGTTTTCTATTGAAAAAGAAGAGGTCGGTAAAGAACGTTATTAAAAGGACCAAGTCTGAATTGTTTATAATTATGGAAATTCGATTTAATGATTTGGTTAATATTTTTAATTCATAATTAACTAAGATAAGTAGATATATATTTATTCTTATTTATATGCGAACATTAATATTGACAATGTTACTTGATTCTACACTCAGAAAAATATGCTTTAACCACATACAGGTTAAATTCATTTTGTTAGAAAAATTCTTGCTCATATGGTATAGTAAAAAACATATAAAAACCAACATGTGGTATGGTTAAACCTGAATGCAGATCCCAGCCCTCATTCAGTTCATAGAAAATCGATGGAGGTACATCACTCGTTTTCATTCCTCTTCTAATCTATTTATACAGTATATGTACATCACAACACTACTAAAACCCAAAAAAGCAGCAAGAAAAGCTTTTAAAAGCAACGTAGAAATTATAATTGTAGTGATATGAAATTTATAACATTATTTATTGCAGAGAATATTATCAGATATAACAGAATATAACCAACACAAACAAAAAGCGTACGAGGCCCAAAGTAATGGAAATGAAGTCATAGAGTTACAAAGATTAAAGAACTAATAGTTTATTTCATTTAAATAAATTTGTCAAGTTTTCAAAAATCATATAACAAATGTCCCCATAAAACTGAATACACATTAAATTCAAATTTTAAATAAAATTAATAAAAATAAAACATTTTATACTATGTAATATATTATATGTCCTCTTTATTATTAATTAAAATTTAATTATTTTAATTTTAAGTTTAATTTTAAGTCCACTGCTTCAGTCAAATCAACTGCTTCAGTTAACAAGTGTGGACCTAGTTTCTTCGATAATGTGACTTAGAGATCTTTCTTGGACGTTTTATCTGTTGGGTTACTGACACCAAACGTTTTACCTGCTTTTACAGAACTCCACTTAGTTTTGGTGGACTAGTGCCTGGTAGTATTGGGCTTAGCACATATAGAATAAAAGTTTTATTTAATTTTTATTTTTTTTACCAAAGCAAATAGCAACGACACTTAATACAAGGATAAATGTGAATAAAAAGTTCATTTTTTTTGATAATTCAACCGTTTTGTTGTCTTCAAATTTGTACTAGAAAAGAACACTATGTTACCAGTTTTATACTCGTATATACGCATATATAATTGACGACAAAATCAGGTTTGTATTTAAGTTTATTTTAATAACTATTTATTTCTTAGTATAAAACGATAGTCTAACAATACATACTTTGATAATTACAAGAGCTAAAAAGTAAGTGTATTTATGCAAAAATGAAAATATGTTTTTAATTATTTTGCATTTGTTTTTATACAAAACTGAAGGATATTTTGATTAAATGTTAACTCTCATGCTGACATAGAAATCTACATTTTCAGTTAAATTTTTAAAGCCTCTGCTTTAGAGCAAACAAATGTTAGTTATATAAAACTAACAAATCATGCTTAAAAAAATAATGACAATGGAAAAAATGCTGTGACAGCATAATCCTATCTTGCATAATCCTAAGTGCTACGTGAACTCTCCTTTATCGAAACAAATGGTAAATAAATGGTTTGCTGACTTGAAATGCGGCCTGAGTCGAATCGACCGTCACTTAATGCTCGAATCCATTTATTAATACTCGAATCACACTAGAATTATTGACCGTGTTTCATTTATATGCATTCTGACACTCTTTTTCATATATTCGACTCTACCTGATTCATATATACAGCTCTTATAATCATTTATACTCTCCTCATTTGATATTCATACACACCGACAGTTTTATGTTATAGTCGGCAAAAGTATGCCTGGAGTTGTGTACTGCGCATATAATTTTCGATTAAAACAACCCACAATTTAATGCAGACAAAATATTTAAAAACACAAACAAAATAGTATGAAACCAATAGTATAAAACTAACGACACACAAATATTTTGCTTAACAAACAACAACACAAACAGCAACACAAAATTTTTTCGAATGTTACAAGTGATTCAGTCATTCCTTTCGATGGTTATATTCATACCCACCCGAGTCTATGCTATGATTCATGAATCATTTGCCATTTATATACGCATTTTTGTGAACCTGATTCATTAGCAGCGACATTCCTTAACAAATATACTTATGAATCCTTTCTGTGGCGAATGTGAATACAAACAAGTAGTGTATGAGAAAAACATTTATACGCATTTTAATTTGGTGTTTTATGAGTGCATGCTGAGTGTTAAAATTATGCCTCGTTGCAGTTCTCTGATTCGCAACCACTACGATTTGTTTTCGCTAATACTACCTGCTCGTAGATCTCAAAGAATTATTCTAAAGAAAGAGATTTGGCTTCGACGACACTAAACTTAATGCAAAACTTAAATCATTCTACAAGAGCGAAATCGAATTGCTTAATTAATTGGTGACCAGATAAATAGGTAAATATAAAAGTAGCTGAATATTCAGAATGATACCTATAACCAAAGAGTATATACACATAGAGTGTGCATGTCGAACAAAATATCAGTCACAAAAATTTTGTTCTACTGGTTT